TTTTCTGATATACTTTTATACATGCATCAGAGCTTGCATTTTTAATTCATTACTTTTGTTCTTTAATTTTGGAAATTATACGGAAGCCACGTTTATAAAATATATATAAATATTTAGAGGTATGTATTAAATTTTCTACCTAGGCAAAAGTTTTATCGTATTAACCTTAATATTTTTGAGAATAAGAAGTTATATATTAATAGATTATTTTTCTGTTGGATGCTCAAATATCGTTCGTTTTAAGTAATTCGCAAGAATTTCTATGAAGTTTAATATGTTTATTTAAAAAAGTTTTATATAAGCATTCTTCGCAGAATTAAACGGCCATTTATGTGAATTTATCGCTATTTTTTATATTATTTACATACGTATATGTCATATTATGAATCATCAATGAATCAAAGTTCATTATAATGAATCGTTATATCTTACTTTCCAGTTATATCATTTAATTTACTGTAAATTAAAGGAAATTATTTATTACAGCAATGAAATTACGCGATTATAACAGTATTATAACTATAAATATTTATACACCGCTTATAATAGCAATAAAACTAATCAGTAAAGCTATACAGGATATTATAGTACTAACTCTATAGTAGTATATTATAAATAATATCTTGTATATCTTGTATAATAGATTATACAGCAAACAATAGGCATATATATTATATGTTTTACCTTAGTGAAATGACCGTTTTAACAGATGCAATTTCAATGAAACTGAAGAAAAGAATGGCAAAACAGCAAACGTCTTTGTATAAAAGAAACACAAGATACACTAAGTTAATCTGAAGCAAATTATCAATATTTAGTTATTTTTGTGAATTTATTTAATAAAATATTTTTAGATATTATTCATATAAATTTCAATTATAATTTATAGGATATTCTATTATTAATTACATAATACTGAATGCCATTAATTACTGCATACATCCTTGATTGCTGTCTAATATTTAACACGCTTCCTGATGATGATATCAAATGATAAAGCATGCTCTATAATGAAATGATTAATTGAATTTCACCTCTTCTATCACCGTTATAATGCAATATTCAATAATTCCCATATTAAGTTATTTAGTTTTAATTTTCAGCATATCTTAATAAGTAACATTCTAATATATTAAACAAAATAAGATTCTGCTTGATTGAGATATTTATTTAATTTTTTTTTAATCAGAACTCTGTACATTTTCATATTAAAAAGATAATGGAATTAATTAGCTACTTAAAGTTTACATTAATAAGCATTTAATGCATCAATGAATATTTACAATTCATTTAGCACTGTTATGAAATCAAAACAAAACAAAATACTTAATTATATTCATGAAATATATACTAAATGAATTTAATTTAAGTAAAATTAAGTCAATAATTTAATATAATTATTTATAGCTATCTACAAAATTAAATACTATTATTTATTTTATAAAATTACAGAAAGAAATGAGGAATTATCGAATTTTATGTAATTTACTGTAGATGTTTATACCTTAAATTTGCAGTTTGGTAAACATTAAGTAAACAGCTGGAATAAATTATTTATTTATTATATAAATTACTGATTAAATAAACATATTAAGATTTAATGGTTTGATTATCTATGGTATTTAACTACTTATATATTTTCTAAATTGCAGTAATACTTTTTAATACATGTACTAATAAATTATTAATATATGATTGTCTATAATAAGAGCCTTAAATTTAGAAAAAATATAATTGGAATATACATATATTATATGTAGATGTAGTAATTTGTGATTATGTGCAAAAATAACTCTTATTAAATTATATATAAGGACTATTTTAGCTATGTAAATTACTAAACTTATTTGAAATGCTTTTAAATGTAAATTCTCTTATATCAATTTCCATTAATATCAATATACAATAGCCTATACGAAGGTAATTTATGAAGTATAGCAATGATTATAATCACTGTATTTCGAAATTTAATATTTAAAACTGATTAGCGAAGAAATTTTGAGGAAAATATGCAAATAAATCACTAACGATGAAAGTTATTTATTGATTCAATTATGTTTTTCTATTAAATCCATGTAAATTGTTTTTACTAGTTAACACTTTAACTTCAATTCAAAACATTTAATACAATGCGGTAACATAAATTCTTGAAAATTTACTTAAAATCAAACGTTCTTAAGTTATGATACTATTAAGAATTAATTGAGAAAATCTAAGATTTATGATGTCCAAAAATTGCCTTAAGTAAGACGTTTTCGTATTATAAGCTACAGACATATTTGACAAGCGAAACCCTATGGCAATTATGATGAGAAGAGTTTCTATTGAAACGTTGAATAACGATATCGTATAAGATTACGAAAATGCCGGAAGAAATCGTTGAAAAGAATTTTAAAAGATGGCGATGATATTTATGAATTTATAAATTTCATCGGTACTTAACGTATATTTACTCGACACTTACAATACAGGATGCCACGAAATGGCGGATGGTAATGGGATCTTGGAATCATATTACAATTCCTTTTTATATGAATTCCATGTTGTACGAGTCACTTAGATTTTACAAATACGTGTGCCGGGCCGTGAACGGTTCACGTATTTGTAAAATCTAAGTGACTCGTACAACACGGAATTCATATAATACGGAATAATCAACAGTGTTATAAGGGGGTCGACTGTATTTTCATTCTAAAACCAAAAAGAAAAATTAAATTATGTTAATTATTTCATTTAAAAAATGGTAATAGATATTCTAATTATAATAAATTGATTCATTTTTGATAATTTGAGTTTTGTTTCTTTCAAAGAAATTCAATTTGCATATTTTTATTAATGCCATTTTATAGATAATATGTAAATTAAAAAAAGTTTTTTTGGGGGTTATTCCATTTAGAAAAAGTAAGTATCGGTTTTGTCATTAGCAGAAAATGTCAGGAAGTAATGTCATAATGGTGAACTAACCGACAACAGGGAATGTGATGACGATGTGAAGTTATTTGGACGGTGCGTGATACAATGTCGATAGTTTTCTACATGCAGCACTTCTACTCTTACCAAGAAAAAAAAAATTATATATATATATTCCATGATTTTTATTGAGTATCGTACGTTACAAGTGATTTTCCAAACAATTTACATCGAATTTTATTCGCTCCTATCATCACTGCTTGCTATTTTCTGATATACTTTTATACATGCATCAGAGCTTGCATTTTTAATTCATTACTTTTGTTCTTTAATTTTGGAAATTATACGGAAGCCACGTTTATAAAATATATATAAATATTTAGAGGTATGTATTAAATTTTCTACCTAGGCAAAAGTTTTATCGTATTAACCTTAATATTTTTGAGAATAAGAAGTTATATATTAATAGATTATTTTTCTGTTGGATGCTCAAATATCGTTCGTTTTAAGTAATTCGCAAGAATTTCTATGAAGTTTAATATGTTTATTTAAAAAAGTTTTATATAAGCATTCTTCGCAGAATTAAACGGCCATTTATGTGAATTTATCGCTATTTTTTATATTATTTACATACGTATATGTCATATTATGAATCATCAATGAATCAAAGTTCATTATAATGAATCGTTATATCTTACTTTCCAGTTATATCATTTAATTTACTGTAAATTAAAGGAAATTATTTATTACAGCAATGAAATTACGCGATTATAACAGTATTATAACTATAAATATTTATACACCGCTTATAATAGCAATAAAACTAATCAGTAAAGCTATACAGGATATTATAGTACTAACTCTATAGTAGTATATTATAAATAATATCTTGTATATCTTGTATAATAGATTATACAGCAAACAATAGGCATATATATTATATGTTTTACCTTAGTGAAATGACCGTTTTAACAGATGCAATTTCAATGAAACTGAAGAAAAGAATGGCAAAACAGCAAACGTCTTTGTATAAAAGAAACACAAGATACACACGAATTTCCGTTTGTTCGATAGTGAATAAAATAACTCGAATTAAATACACCCTTACTGTAATTGGCTTAAGAGCAGCTACACTTTTCTATTATTAATTTACTTATATACAAGTCCCTAAAGAACTTCTGCTTTGTTAATGTAAAAAGAAAAAAATTTAGCTATAACTGATTCATTATACACAATTATTTTTTAAACGTTATAAGTTTATTTATTAAATCTCTGTTATTTCATCAACTTCAGGAAAGTTGTCATCATCAGTTAAGAAATGTGGATTTTGTTTCCACCCCAAAGCATTAGAATTCATTGTTCCATGCACTGAAAAGCATTGTAATTACTTGTAATATATCAACTTAACTACTAACTCTTTTCTCTATGTTGTCAATGGCCTTCTGCACTAGTCTTTTCTGTATGAATGTTTAAGACATTTCATAATTCCATGATCCACAGGCTGANCATTATATACAGTCGACCCCCCTATAACACTATTGCTTATTCCGTTTTATATGAATTCCATGTTGTACGAGTCACTTAGATTTTACAAATACGTGTGCTGGGCTGTGAACGGCTCATGTATTTGTAAAATCTAAGTGACTCGTACAACATGGAATTCATATAAAACAGAATAATCAAATGTGTTATAGGAGAGGTCGACTGTAATAAAAAATGCAAAAAACCCTTTAAAATTTCGCAATAATTTATTATTTTTTGTGTAATAAGTGTGAGACTTTAAAGGTTAATTTAGGACAATTTTTCGATGTATTGTTAGTGTTTATTCTAAAGAAAAATTAAAGAAAGATCAAATTACACACGTGATAAAAGTGGAAAAAGTATTAATTTTTTTAAAGTATTTAATTGAAGTTATGCTAAGACATGAATTACCTCGTGGTAACGTTTCGATGGAGTGTGGCACCCGTATAGCGCGAGTGATGTCGTGCAAAACGTGCAAACCGTGCATCACCCCCCTGATTTGAATTAGTACGATCCTAGTAGTGTTAGACGGCAACGCGACTGCGCCAACGATCAGTCCATTGCACAATCGGTTACTGTTCGGGAGGTGAATCAGTCGGGTGGTCGGGATGGCAGATTGATGTCTCGTTGTATGACAGTTTTGAGAAGTCGTGCGTGCATTTTAGAGGATTTAGCTTGTGATATAGTTAACCCACACGTGTAATTCGCATTCACTTATGCACATCGCGTGGATCGTGCCACCTCCGAGCAGGTGAATATCGATCAGAGCAACATGGCACCCTTGGCAATGGGTTCGTTGGTGATACTGTTTATTACAATCTTGGTTGGAAGTGCGAAAGATACATCTTTCGAAGCTGCTTTTCAAGGTAAGCAATGAAAATTTTCTTATAGATAATAGATCTGTTTAATTATGGCACTAAATTAAAAATATATATAATTTTATGTCACGAAATCCTTATAGGACCCATTTACGATCCTTTTCTATAAAAACAATCATCATTACCAATCAAAAAACCTTGTCGAAATGCGTTAATTCACGTTTTTACAATAGTAAATACACACCCTTTCATTACGTTCAAAAAAAAAAATTTAAAGACGTAATAAAACTCGTAAGAATATACTAATTTTCTTTTTCTACAATGTAAATATTTAAATTTCCAAATAAATATCTTCATTTATTAAATTTAAAAAAAAAAATGATATTAAGCGAGTATCGCGTAACCAATCTCCAGTTACCGAATAGATTTTCTTTTTACTGAGAGATCTTAAAATAATTGAATATTCTGTACAAGAGGAATGACTGTAAATATTCTTATTTTAATAATTAAATATTCTATTAAAAAAAGATAGATAATAAACGACTTTTAACCAGTATTTAAACTAAGAAATCAGTTGATAAAGTGATAACATAATATAGTTGAATAGCTGATAACTCGTTCAAAGTGTATACCCATTGTCCTTTCTTACATCCGTCCTTCTTATGAGTCAGTATTCTTGAAAGTATCGTGTGACGTTATTATTCGAGTGTGACGTATTTTTGTAAGGAAATTTTTTTTTTTTATTTTAGAATGTTTCCTTTATCGTGGACAAAATCGTAATCTCTTTACACCACTTAGTTTTACAGAAACGTCAATTAACAGTGCAACGTAGTGTTTGTGTGTGTGTACGTTTCTGCGTGTTTTTTGTTAAGTTTTCAATCGGAAATTGGTGTTTTTTTTTTTTACTTTTTTTAATTGATAATACAGCTTTTTTTTTTCGCTCGATTCTTGTTTCTTGGAGAAAGATTACAACGGATATGCAGGACAGGTTTCTTAAGGGAAGGTCAGTGACAGCTCGTGTGAAAATGTATTTATCAAAACATATTTGCGAATAAGAAGAGTACTGGCACAATTCCCGCTAGACATATCCACTGATGTGTTATGCTCTCTTGGCATTTCTTCAAACTCTATAACGTGATAGATGGAATATGCAGATGCAAAATTTTTGTAGTATCCTCCCGTCTCGATAAAAATATAATTGATTGACCCATTTTTCTATAAGTTCCTGTTTACGATCAGTTATTTATAGCATTTTTTTTTTTACTTATAAATTCGTATATTTATCGTCATAAATAATTATTTAAAATAATATTTTCGATTATTCGTGAAGATAAAACACAGTTTAAGAATTGAAAGTATTGACAAGAATTGTTCCATAAAAGTGATATAAAAATTCAATTTTTCTTTTAACAGTTGAACACGCGGTATTTTTAGAATTTTTCGATGTGTTGTAAATTATTTGCAGATCATTTGCAGACGTAATGATGTTGATAACCCGAACTTATGGAGAGACAAGTTTGCCCACTTCTATATTTGGAAAGCAATTAAAAAAAAACAAATTGAAAGAACAAAGAACATTTTGTTCAGAATTAACACCTTCGAACCGATAAGAAAACGTTGAAATAAACTGTTTTTTAGATGTAAAATGTTTATTTCGAATAGTAAAAGTTCAGTTGGAGTTAAGTCTATAGTTCAGTTTTGTGACCTATTTTCTTTAAAACAAAAAAAAAGACCTCATAAATTTCCTGCTGGCTTTTTCTTCTTTTATTTTAACTAATAGGAGGGGAGAAAGAAGTATTTTTTAATCACTTAAAATAATTAAATATAAAAGAAGAAGAAGAAGCATATTTATTTTTTTAAGAAGGAAAAATTAAAGTTAGCGTTATATGGAAGGAAATGATAATTTCCGTTACGGTTAAACAATTTATAGAAAAATGAGGTAATAAAACGTTTAAAACGTTATCTTTTCCGGAATTTTGTGGATCGAAATCTTCATTTGTATCGATGGAACGAGTAAATGAAGTTACAATGAATGTAACTTCATTAGGACGTGTCAGAGTCACAGTTATAAATCTCGAAAGTCCAAAGCAACTTTTGTGGTTAAATCGGTCTCTGTTAATTACTTTACCTGACAGATATTCTGTCTTTAATTCGTTTTTCATGGCATTTTAACCTATAAATCGTTTTATTATACGAAGATAAACTTATTTTTTTCTTATTAAAAAAAAAGCCAAAAAATTATTAGGCTATTGTTAGTAGTAATTGTTGAGTTAATAATTAAAAATAAAAAGCAATTACTTTACTCGATAACAGAGATTTTGAATTTAAATTTTTGATAATTTTATAATAAGATCTCTTTCCATTATTTAAAAAAACAATGTAAGTAAATTCAACTCTTTGATGCTTTCCAGACCGAAAAACAAATGGATTCGCTTTTTTCGAAATGGGATTTTGTGTTCGAATTAATGAAATAACGAGTTCCTTCCTCATTGTTTCCTGTTTAAACCCTCGAAAAAACTTTCTAAATCCCTTAATAATGCTTTTAAAATATTCTAAATTATTTAAAAACAGTCTCTTTTTTTTCTAGGTTTTCCAACAATATTTTTTAATTTTCTCTATACTTTAAGAGGTTTTTCTGGTGTTTTTAGAAAGTTGTAATGTACTTTTTTTTCCCCAGGAAACAAGCATTAAAGAAGAGTACATATTATAATCGTTCTCGCCTTTGAAAATATATACTGTATAGCCTAAATATCGATCAAAACTTTCCAAAAAAATTCCGGTTTTAGAATATTTCTCGCATTCATAAATCTGCAGTTTTCTCCGTCTTATCCATTTAGACATCGTCTAGCCTACATTTAGCTTATAAATTACGTCTGAAATATTAAAATTCTGAATTTTTCTTGCGAATTTCGTACACTTTAAAGTCGTTGGCCGGCATTAGAATATGAGAAACATTGAAGATTTTTCATTAATTCAAACGTCTAGAAGGCATTACCCTTTAAAATTGACTATGAAATTGGTTCAATAAGTATTCTGTAGCGATTAAAATCACATATTTTCTCTAATCAATTGTTAACTTATTTATTTTATCTCTAGAATTTATAGGATTAACAAGAGATGTTGTAAATTAGTGTAAAAGATAATGCAAATTCGTATGAACACCATTAATTTAGCAATATTATATAAAAAGTATCAGAAAATAACACGAAAATTGAAATTTTTCACTTTAAAATTAGTAATTTTTCCTCCTTCAGTTTAGTAATTTTTAGAAAATTTTTAGAATTTTTTTAGGAATTTTTCACTTTAAAATTAGTAATTTTTTAGAGAAATTACTAATTTAATTACTAAATTAGCATTTTTTTTCCTAAAAATTACTAATTTTAAAGTGAAAAATTCCTAAAAAAATTCTAAAAATTTTCTAAAAATTACTAAACTGAAGGAGGAAAAATTACTAATTTTAAAGTGAAAAATTTCAATTTTCGTGTTATTTTCTGATACTTTTTATATAATATTGCTAAATTAATGGTGTTCATACGAATTTGCATTATCTTTTACACTAATTTACAACATCTCTTGTTAATCCTATAAATTCTAGAGATAAAATAAATAAGTTAACAATTGATTAGAGAAAATATGTGATTTTAATCGCTACAGAATACTTATTGAACCAATTTCATAGTCAATTTTAAAGGGTAATACCTTCTAGACATTTGAATTAATGAAAAATCTTCAATGTTTCTCATATTCTAATGCCGGCCAACGACTTTAAAGTGTACGAAATTCGCAAGAAAAATTCGGAATTTTAATATTTCAGACGTAATTTATAAGCTAAATGTAGACTAGACGATGTCTAAATGGATAAGACGGAGAAAACTGCAGATTTATGAATGCGAGAAATATTCTAAAACCGGAATTTTTTTGGAAAGTTTTGATCGATATTTAGGCTATACAGTATATATTTTCAAAGGCGAGAACGATTATAATATGTACTCTTCTTTAATGCTTGTTTCCTGGGGAAAAAAAAGTACATTACAACTTTCTAAAAACACCAGAAAAACCTCTTAAAGT